TACCAGACTGTGCTGGGCTGAGCCCTTTGCCCAGAGAGGTGTTGAAAAGAAATGTGAAGCTGTTGACAGACCTGGCTGCCATTGCCCTCTCCTCTGGTACAGGCAGCCTGAGTGGAATTCCCCTGGACAAACCCATTTGGAGGGACCGGCACAAAGAGACCCAAGGGGATGTCTTCACTGGTCACCACAGAGATCACCAGGCCCTGCTCACCTTTGGGTTGTGCAGGATAATGACTTCTCTGTTGGGGGACTCCAGCTTCCTCTTCCACTCCCCCAGGGTTACAGCAATCATGTAAGCTTCCTACAGAAGAGAACACCCACTGTGAGTCAGCTGGAAGTGTGCCCATCAATGCTCAACCTCCTGGGACATTCCCCACCCAGTTTTCAGAATCTCTTATCAACACTTTGCAAAAGAGGCAGAGAAATCAGCTGGAGGAGAAGCAGGGTCATCCCAGGATCACCTGCTGAGAGTGTTTAAGAACTCCCTGCTTTGACAGCAGCAGCATCAGACTTCCCCATCAACTTAGAATGATTTTGTTACATCAGAATAGAGGTTATTGCAAAGATGAGTATTTTTCTGTATCTATATCTCACCCCAAAGGAGAGCCTGGCACTTCAAGGTGTCATGGAAGGAGGCACCGAGGCCAGATGAGGGCAGGGGAAGGGGAGGCCACGGCAGTGCTCACAGTTACATCAATCAGCTGCAGGAATGCTGTGCCAAAGCCTCTTTGGAGTTCATGTCCTCAGGCCTGACTGTGGTGCCAGTGGCCTTGGATGGGGTTTGGGACACCAGAGACAGTATGTGACAAGGAAAGGCTGAGATGGAAACCAATGGGAAAGGTGTGCTTACCTCCAGTTCCTCACTGAAGGATTCCGAGTAGGGAATGAACTTATTGTCCTTGTCCCCCTTGTAAAACCAGGTGCAGCGTCGCACTTCAGCCACCTCCTCCTCCCAGTACACGGCCACGCGCTGCCGCGTCCGCAGGTGCACATCGTACCTGCCCCCCGACGTGGGGACAACCACGCCGTCCTGCTCCTTCCCTGGGGAAAGCGAGGCCTGCAGTTAACCAGGAGAGGCCTGGAATGGCAAGATCCCATTGATCTTGCCATTGGAGCAATGAGGCTGGAGCATCCCCTTGGGCACAGCCACGGCAGCAGATGCCAATGTCCTCTGTACCCAAGTTCAGAGAGCAGTGCCGGGGCATCTGGGCGAGACGCCCCAAGTCAGACTTCCCCCAGAGGCAGAAGGTGAGATGAAAACATTACACTACACTTCTCTCTAGCTCAGGCACGTGCTCACGTGGCTTCTCCCTGCCTCACCTGGAGGGTAAAAGTGGAACTGTGGCCCTGGGAAGCACATTGTGTAACAGTGGGGGTGCACCAGGGCCTCCTAAGGGTCTCTAAGCCGTTCCTCTCTGAAACAGAGAAATCTGCAGACCCCAATACAGACCTCAAACTCTGTATTTTCTCTGTGAATTTCGGTGCTTTTTGGGTCTGCCTGCGGGCTGGGCTGGTGGCACAGCACCCCGTGCCAGGCTGGGTCAGGCAGCAGCTCCGGGGATGGGGAGCACAGCCTCTAATCCCAAACTTCCTGGGCGAGGGAGGACGGGAGCCAAGCCTTGGGCAATCGGAGCTCTGCCTGTGGCAGCAGGTGGCACAGATGGTGACATGTGGCACACGAGGACCTCAGCACAGGGCTTGGAGCTGACCTCCAATCCTTGCTCCCAAAGCAGGCACGGTTCCGTGCCGTGGGGGGCTCTCCCAGCGGAATTCCTGCCATCCTGCTAGCATTCTCCCAGCCTCACCAGACGATGCTCTGCAGTATGATTATATATAATTTAGAACAGTATCAGCTGAATGGGGTCAGACCATTTGATGCATCCAAACAGCTCAGTTACTGGGAGCAGGCACACGGCCAAAGAAGTCCCAATGTAAAATTCCTCGAGCGAAAATCTAGCATCCCAGCTGGAAAGCCACGGATGCGTCCGGGGAATTTTTTTTTTTTTTCCCCGGTACCCAAGCGCACACCTGCTGCTCCCCCGTCAGCCTCCCCAGGCCCGTTCCTTAGCGCGGTGCAAGAGCGGGGCCGCGGATGCAGAAGCGAAGGGCGGATGGCGGTAGCGGGAGCCGGGGGCCGGTGCTGCCGGGGGACCCCCGCCCTACCTGCGCCGTGCGCCGCCTCCAGGCGCTCCGAGTCCTGCGCGCTGAACGGCACCCAGCGCTCCCGCGGCTCCGTGACCTTGCAGTAGAACCAGTGCGGCACCACCGGCTCGTAGCGCCCGCCGGGCTCCGGCTCCGGGGGCTCGGCGTTGGCCGGCGGCGGCCGCGGCGGCTCCTGCGCGGACATGGGGCCGCTGCGGGGGGAGCGGGGCTCCGCCGCCACCGGGGCTCCGCCGCCAGCGGGGGCTCCGCGGGTCGCGCCGTGCGCCGCCGCCCCGGCCCCGAGCGGCCCCGGCCCCGCTGTCCCGGCGGCTGCTGCGGCGGCGAGGCCCGGCCCGGGCGGCAGCGCAGGCTCCGCTCCGGCCCCCGCGACCGCCCAGCCCGGGGCGGTGCTGCCCGCGGCCCGCCCCCTCCGTCACGGCCGGGGAGGAGCGGGGATTGCCCGCAATCACTGCCCGCAGTCCCTGCCCGCAGTCCCCGCTGGGGCTCTTCCCTGCAGCCTCGCCGTCCCTGCCCGCAGCCTTTGCCCTCAGCCCCTCCCTGCAGCCCTGCCACTGCTGCCCTGCCTGAAGCTCCTGTCCCCGATCCCTGCCCGTCACCTTTGCCCACATCCCTGCCACGATCCCTGCCCGTGTTCTCTGCCCGTGTTCCATCCCTGTGACCCCTGCCCGTGTTCTCTGCCCGTGTTCCATCCCTGTGACCCCTGCCCGTGTTCCCTGTCCCTGCTCATGTTCCCTGCTCGTGTTCCCTGCCTGTGACCCCTGCCCGTGTTCCCTCCCTGTGTTCCCTCCCTGTGTTCCCTGCCCCTGCCCCTTTTCCCTGCCCGTGTTCCCTGCCCCTGCCCGTGTTCCCTGCTCGTGTTCCCTGCCTGTGACCCCTGCCCGTGTTCCCTGTCCCTGCTCGTGTTCTCTGCCCGTGTTCCCTGCCTGTGACCCCTGCCCGTGTTCCCTCCCTGTGTTCCCTCCCTGTGTTCCCTGCCCCTGCCCGTGTTCCCTGCCCGTGTTCCCTGCCCCTGCCCGTGTTCCCTGCTCGTGTTCCCTGCCCGTGTTCCCTGCTCGTGTTCCCTGCTCGTGTTCCCTGCCCTCGGCAGTGGCTCCGGGGGG